TATTTCTATAAGCTTATTGAATTAAATAAAAACAAATTGATCGAATTTGATCAGGTAAGTGCCAAGTAATCTTCATTCAAAGTTTAGATGTCTTTAAAAAAGGAGCTGCACCCAAATTTTTTTTTTACTTTGAATGAAGATTACTCAGCACTTACTTGGTCAAATTCGATCAAAATTTTTTTATTTTATTTCTATAAGTTTATAAAATTAAATAAAAACAAATTCATCGAATTTGACCAGGTAAGTGCTAAGTAATCTTCGTTCAAAGTGAAAAAAAATTTGGGTGCAGCTTCTTTTTTAAAGACACCTAACTTTGAACGAAGATTACTTGGCATTTACCTGGTCAAATTCGATCAAAATTTTTTTATTTTATTTCTATAAGCTATAGAATTAAATAAAAACAAATTGATCGAATTTGACCAGATAAGTGCCAAGTAATCTTCATTCAAAGTTAGGTGTCTTTAAAAAAGAAGCTGCACCCAAATTTTTTTTCACTTTGAACGAAGATTACTCGGCACTTACCTAGTCAAATTCGATGAATTTGTTTTTATTTAATTTTATAAGCTTATAGAAATAAAATAAAAAAATTTTGATCAAATTTGACCAAGTAAGTGCCGAGTAATCTTCATTCAAAGTAAAAAAAAAATTTGGGTGCAGCTTTTTTTTTAAAGACATCTAAACTTTGAATGAAGATTACTTGGCACTTACTTGGTCAAATTCGATCAATTTGGTTTTATTTAATTCAATAAGTTTATAGAAATAAAATAAAAAAACTTTGATCAAATTTGACCAGGTAAGTGCCGAGTAATTTTCATAGATGTCTTTAAAAAAGAAGCTGTGCCTAAATTTTTTTTAACTTGTAATGAATATTTCTCGACAACCTGCTATTCAAATTTGACAATTTTTTTATTTTATTTTAATTATATAAATCTACAGAATCAAAATAAAAATTTTTATCAATTCTGAATAGTTGATTGATGAAACATCTTTATTTAAAGTTCAAAGAAAAAATTTACCTGATTTTTTTGGTTTTTTTTTTTTTAAATTTTTAGCAATTATTTCTCGATAACACTGAACCAAATTTAAATGAACTTTTTTTTTTTATTTAATTCTACAAAAATATAGAATTAAAATAAAAATTTTACTAAATTTGATCAAGTAGTTATTGAGAAATCATCGCTAGAAGTATTAAAAAGCTTTCGATTATTAAGAAGTTATGTGCCACAGAATTTATTCAATGTACACTATTGGCTTAAGTATTTACATTTTAGGTATTTACATTTTAGCATAAATTGAAAACCGCTCTTGCTATATCTATTCAAATATCATGTGGTTTTCGACTCAACTGACTTAAAACCTGATTAAACCAAGGATCCCTAGAATATACATGCCACAGCAATTTGTAACTGAAACATGATCATCATAAATGTCATCTTAAATTGATATCATATTATGTCATTATAAAATTCTCTTAAATTAAAGTTTTCTTAAACGACTGCCTTCTTTTTGTGTTTTATTGTAGTAACAAAACTAAAGAATAATTTTTTAACGTGTTATCTTAATAAAAGAAATAAGAAAATTGGTACTTGAACTATTCTATTTTCGTATATAAAAGTATATAAATATATTTCACCACCATTACGTAATAGCTTTGTACTCATTCAAAAGTTAGTAAAAGCCTGCCTGTTTCTAATTATTAGAATTATAAATACATTATATTTCTCCTGTAGTTAGTATTTGAGTTTTAATTAAAGAATATTTTCAAATTATCATACATGAAAGTTTAGTTATTGATATTGAAATTGTTTTTAAAGTATTATGTCAACGCCTCCTGATATTAATAATATCCTCGATATTGAAGAAGAAGATCAAGAAATTGATATGGAATTTGATAACGATAATATAGATAATATAATTGATTCTATTCTTGACGCAACAGATGGTGTTGGTCATATGTGGGAATCAGTAGAAGATGATAATACAGTATCAAGTGAATCAAATAATGAAAGAGTGAAAATCTATTTACTTCCAATAAATGAATATGTAATGTGGATTAGGGATCTTGAAAAAGGGGGACTAAACTATGTTCGACATGATCATAGAAGTAATTGGTGCAGTGCTAAAAGGAAAAATCTGTGGACAGAGCATTGGTACTGTCATCGCTATGGGATATACAAAAGTATTGCAGGAAAAAATTTAAATAAAAAACCAAGAATTGTACAAAAGGAGACTAAGAAATATGACTGCAAAAGCTTTATTCATGTAACTCTTCCTATTAATTCGTCTAATGTAGTCCTATACCATTACTACAAACATACAAATCACTATCCCAGACATTTATCTGATTTATATACAATGCCACTTTCTGAAAATATCTGAACCTTTATTCAAACTCATGCTCTCGAAGGACTGGATGCCTTCAGCATACAGAGGCTTTTGCGATTTAGAACAGTTGAAGTTAAGGATCAGATTAGAATAGATGCTAAAGGTCATTTACAGGATGCTCGAATGTTACGAGATGCTTTTATAACACGGGATGATATATATACAATAGTGTATAATATAATGAAAAAATTAATCTATTTTGATAAAAATGAATTAATTTCTTTAGAAAAATGGAAGGAAAAATTAATTAATACTGATGGGAGTTGTTTATTTGAACGTGATAATGAGTTTGAGTTCCTTTTTACATTTCAGACAAAAGAACAAAAAAATTTAATTGAATTCAGAAGAGTTTTGTGCCTAGATGGCACACACGGGATGAACCACCATGGTTATCATCTTTTCTCAATTATTATGCACCATCCTATAACAGGAAATGGGTACCCTGTAGCATTTTTGATAAGTAAATTCAAACGATCATCAACATTAAATCAGTGGTTTAATTTTTTAAAAGGTACAAATGAAAAATTTAGCCCTGATATATTTATGGTTGATGACGCTGAAGAGGAGATAAAAGCAGTTGAGGAGAGTTTTCCAGACAGTTCTGTATTGCTATGTTACTTCCATGTACTGCACTCTTGGCCTAGAAGGCTGGGACATAAGCATGGTGCAAATATCAATCCAAATAAGGTATTATTAACATTAATATATATACGTACAAAATTTAAATTACAAGTTATAATTTTTATAATTTTTAATAATTTGTTTAATATTAAAATATATATGTATATAGGCAATTGTATGGAAAGATTTGTGGAAACAAATGCGGACAGAAGGGTGGAATGACGCAGAAGTGCAGCAACAGGTTATAAAGGCAATTAATGGGTGGCGATCAATGGATGATAAAATTATTGACGATTTTGCAAATTATTTCAAATTTTAGTGGAAACCCAAATATGAGATGTGGATGATATGTGCTAGAGGAGTTTCACGAGATAAAATAGATACAAACAATTTGATTGAGGCTTTCCATCACAAGTTAAAGTATACATTTATGAGAGGACGTCTGGGGCATCGGCTGGATAGTGAAATTTATTTACTTGTAGAGATTGTTCTTCGAGATATGAATTTTTCAGTTCTTATAAATGAATTAAGGATTGGTCGAATGAATTCATAACAACGCCAACAGCGTATTCGAGAAATTGCTAGAACCCAATATATAAATAAAAATGATATTTATAAAATCCAATCTGATACTTGGTTAATTCATTCTATGACAAATAATGACATTGAATACTCTGTTCGTAAAAAGAATTCTATAGATAATAAGGAAAGCAATTTAGACATTACATCGTACATATGTACATGTTTAGATTTTAAAAAATGCCAGCTAGCCTGTAAACATATATTTGCTGTGTTGAATCAGCTACATATTAATAATAAGAAAGAAAATGAACATGGTTAGCAATTTGTTTTAGTTTTTTTTTTGGTTTACTTGAATAGACACATAATAATTAATTTTTTATCTCTTATTTATTAAGTGAATGCTGACAAGCATATCAGAAGTATCGAAATCATGAACTTACCAGATAATAATAAAAAAAATGAAAATGATAAAGAATTGACTTCAAAATTGTTTAAATCTATAATAGTAATTTTACATTTTATTTATTTTTTTTTTTAATTAAGCAAATACTGAAACACATGATAGAAATATTGAAATTATCAAATTGCAAGAGGATCTTGCCACAATTGTTAATGAATGGAAGGAAAAAAAGGGTCAAGATATTCGTAGCCTGCGAGAAGCTTTTCAGCGAACTGCACAAATTGAAAGAGCAAGAATTACCAGAATTGAGGCCGTGCCACAAGTTAATAAGCCAAGAATTTCTCAAATGACACCTAATGCAAAGTTCAAAAAACAAAATAATTTCTAATTTTTTGTTCTTCGATACATATGTATGCACATTTAAGTTCTAGTATAGTGAAAATTATCTGGGCATATAAGTTAGAGTATTCAATATACTATCAATTATGTAAATCAAGATTATATGCAAAAAACTTAATTCAAATATTTTACATTTGTATGATTTATGAGCTCGACTTATAACTTTATAGCCAAAAATTGTAGTTTCAGAGTTACAGAGCAATTAATTTGGTAATTCTTCTAAGTAATTTAGGTAATACATGCAAGTAAAATAGATCAAAAACTTTATTTTTCATATAAAATATTAAAATAGTTCTGTAACTTTGTAATAGTGATAATTAGGGATATTATCATAAACTGGTTCAAACAGTTTAACATTTCTAGTAGCAACAAAGAATCAATTCGTATCAAGGCTTTGGATAAAAAAAAAATTTATCCATATATCTAAAAAAATCTTAAAAATATTTGATTAAAAAAGTTGTATAATCATATATAATTTTGATTTATATAGTATATTGAATGGCCCAACATAAGTAATTTAGCAAAATGTTCGAAATTAATAAAATACTACAAAGTAAAAAAAAAAAAATTGGGCGCAGCTTCTTTTTTAAAGACATCTTAATTTTGAATGAAAATTACTTAGCACTTACCTAGTCAAATTCAATCAATTTGTTTTTATTTAATTCTATAAACTTATAGAATTAAAATAATAAAAAATTGACCGAATTTTACTAGGTAAGTGCCGAGTAATCTTCGTTCAAAGTTTAGATGTCTTTAAAAAAGAAGCTGCACCAAATTTTTTTTATTTTGAACGAAGATTACTTGGCACTTACCTGGTCAAATTTGATCAATTTGTTTTTATTTAATTCTATAGCTTATAGAAATAAAATAAAAAAATTTTGATCGAATTTGACCAGGTAAGTGCCAAGTAATCTTCGTTCAAAGTTAGGTGTCTTTAAAAAAGAAGCTGTGCCCAAATTTTTTTTCATTTTGAACAAAGATTACTCGGCACTTACCTGGTCAAATTCGATGAATTTGTTTTTATTTAATTTTATAAGCTTATAGAAATAAAATAAAAAAATTTTGATCGAATTTGACTATGTAAGTGCCAAGTAATCTTCATTCAAAGTAAAAAAAAAATTGGGCACAGCTTCTTTTTTAAAGACATCTAACCTTTAAATGAAGATTACTTGGCACTTACCTGATCAAATTCGATCAATTTGTTTTTATTTAATTCAATAAGCTTATAGAAATA